TAAAGTTAAAAGTTTAACCCTTTAGGTCTCTGCTCATTATTATTTTTACTCCTAAAATATCACTACTATTTTGATCAATAAAAAAATATATCACAACTATGATAATATGTATAATTAACTATGTTTTAGTTGAATTTATGAACTGTTACAATTGACCCCGTAAGTGGGGACAATTGTAACAAGTGCACGACTGTCGAAAATTGTTAATTACTAATATAATAACATTCAAAATAAGGTATTTATTTTTTTTTCTAGTAGAGAATAGTCTACTTTATTCGTCTGTCAATTAATATATTGGATTTTTTATTAGTTAAAAATAGTTAAGTAAAAAATGTTACATTTGACCCCTCTCTCCCCTACTTTTAAAAATTTGCTCTTTTCACCCATTTTTAAAAAAATTACATTTCTTTTATGGTAAGTGAATATTTTTATTTTAAGATTATACAAAAAAAAAAAATATTTAATTAAATTGTACTAATAACATTAAGGTCTAGTAATAAAACATAGTTTTATTATACAATAGTATAGTTTTTTTTTAACTACTCATTTTTACCGGCATACTTACTAATTCTTGACAGAATGAAACATTAGTTAGGAGATGTCTTGAATTCAGATATAAAATAAATAAAACTAATTGCCGATAATTCAGATGTCAAACAAAATCTTTCCCTTTCAATATAATAAATATCACCATAAAAAATAATTTATTTATATCAAACTTTTTAAAAGTTAAATCTTCTATGAGAGAAATTCATTACCATACCATCATTTATACTTAAGGAAGAAAAAAAAGGTTGTAAACAGCTATAAATATTCACAATTCAATCTAAGCTTTCACTAATCTAGTCAAATGCTTAAATTAAAATAAAAAATGAAGTGAAAAATCTCTTGGTTTTCCTTGTTTTGATAAGGTATTTTTCATAAATTTTTCCCCCTTTGGTTGTTAATTTTTAGTGTATTAAAGTTTGCATTTATGTAGTGCACACTTACTATATACGACAGCGTAAATTTAAAATCGTTTGGGAATTACCGTTTTGAGCACAGCTTGAAAATTAAATTGTTCGACGTGGCCATGATATGCATTTCTTACCCTTATATTTGACATGTAAATATTTAGTGATATCATAAAATACTGATTAATCTCCTCTCAAATTTTGAAGAAACCCTTGGAAGGGAAAGAAGAAAAATAATAAATAAAATCGATTATATTTTATAAGACCTAAATATTACTGAATATATTTATCTATTTAAGAATTTATTAAACAATGTTTTATAATTTTTCACTTCTCTAGCAATGCTTATTTTTATTTAAAAAAAAGTTTATAGTTACACAATTTAAACACACACATTTAGTGCCTTGTGTTTAAGTCTTTGGCATATTTTTGAAAGATTTGATTCTTATGTGCATAAATGTCAGTTACCATAATTGTCTAAAAATCAAAGTAAATAATTGTCTTTTTAAAATTTATTTTTAAAGAAAATACTATAGTTTCAAAATGCCTTTCTCCTTAGTTAAAATATTTTGAATTGTGTGACTTAATATCACTTACTTTAATTCATTCACTCCCTAATGTCAATGAAAATAATACAAAAATTGCTGCCTTTTAAAAATTCTTATATAAGATTTAAAGATATATAAAACTTCTTTTAAATTAAGTTTCATATATCTTTTATTATATTTAACAAGATGATAATAATACATCAAAAAATAAAGTTTCCCTCTTTTCAAAACTATAAATGTCCATAATTTCATAGAATAAGCAACAACTTTGTTTTCGTATCTATTTTTCACTTCAAATCTGGATTTGCTCTAATGACTACTGTTTGTCTAAAGATAGGTATTTTTCCAGACATTCGCCTGGAGCTGTGGTGGTGACTATGGTAACGAGGTATGATTATTTCAAGTAGGTGTGCGGAGTTCCTCCTTAGGACTGGTTTCGGCGAAAGAAAAGGAGATCTCTTCATCGAAGATACCCTCCCTAAAATGCCCTCTTCTTGTTCCCATAGCACCAGACTGATGCAGACTTTGTGGCAAGAAGAGTACCTATATTAGACAAACAATATAGAGCAAGAAATAACAAAATAATTAATGGAACTTGAAGGACTCAAAATGTTGACAAATCATTTCGTCAAATCTTCAAGAAAAATGATTTTAGTCTGGGTAGTTTCTTTTATCAAAGCATTTAATAAGGACTGAAATGTATATTTAGTGTATAATATAAGCAAAATTAACTTTAGAATCTCATTTTTTTTTTCAAATGTTAATTGAAATAACTCCCTTTACTTCTTTTTTGATTATTGAAATGGTTCATATTTTTATATGCTTGGGAATTTATGCATTTTGGTTTCAGCATAAATAATTGTTTTCACATATTGACTACAATTTTAGTTAGCACTTTCGTTAAAGTTATGAAACATTTTTAGTAGTTTTTTTTAACGAACTTTGCAGCAATAAATATTTTAGTTCTACGAGTTCAATAATATATATACTCAGATTAAATTTTTCGATTTAAATTTCCATCTGTCATTCTTTTGAGTCGATATTATAAATGAATAATATGATGGGTATATTGCCTTTATTAAATAAAAATAAATAAGGATTTGATAAACATTTACTTAGTTGTTATATTTTCTGATTCACTATTTAATTCGTAATAAAATTTCTATAAAAGGTTTCAAATTTTATATTGCTTTTAATTTCTTTTCTATAAAATTATCATAGCAAAATAAAAATGTCACTGAAATCAAGTGGCAACCATTTAATATTAACTTTCTTTAAAAAATATATAGCAGATTCTAAAGTAAATTTTTGTGCCCCCCCCCATTCTCCTTCATGATGCACCTAGGCCGTGATTTAATTACTTTTCAAAAGTTATTTTATTAATAAACTTTATTTCAGTAAAAGATTAAATAGGTGGAGAAATTTATGAATTCAAGGATTAAAGTTCTATCATGTAACGCATTTTTTAATCATACAGGAATTCTAAAATTAGTATTCATCAATAAGATTAATTAAAGCAATATACAATGATATTAACTGTAATTTCAACAACAGAATTTTATTTTAAAGCACTCATGTTACTTGGAGTGATTTACAACTAGCTTTACAACAAATAATGTGACTTGTGTTACACTAAATCAACATTTTAAAATGTACGTAAAATTAAATTATTGTCCCCGAAGTTGCCAAAACTTGGCGAGTATTATGCCACAAATCACGATATGGAAATCTCCGAACTTTTGACATTAGTTATCAAACTTAATTTTCACTCTCTTCTTATACAGGAACTAGGAAGTTAAATATTTCATTTTAGATTTACTTATCTAAAAAAGATCACTAAAAACCAGCTCGTATTCCTGATTGCTATTTTTGTTGAGGACACTCCAAAAGTTGCCAAAACTTGGCAATTATTATGCCAAAACGAGGAAATATTAAGAATGAATCAGTTATAAGCTCTCTGTATCCAAAGCTTGATTCTCTCAAAAATCGAATACTTTGATTCTTCAATTCGTTTTAATCCTTCAGTAGAAAGTACTTCTCTACATTGTTCTAATGTCAAATTACTCGCAGAAACATATTTTCCGCGTTTATATTTGGTTCCATAATAATTGGATGCCAAACGATTCAACGATTCTAGTTTCTTCTCACATTCTTTTAAATTTGATATGTTAGTCGCTTCACCTCGTGAAAATTCTTTTGCAACTTGCTGCCGAATGACTTCACCTAAATCTCTTCCTTTTTTAGTAACATCTACACCCCATTTTTCACAGAGTCGTAAATAGCCTTTATAAAGTTGGCCGGCCATGCTTTGTGTCAAAGAGTATTGTACAAAAAGGCAATTTCGTCAATAAAATAAATCCGTAAGAGGAAGAAAATGTCCTTTCTTCCAGTTTTTTCGAAAAAAAGCAATATTTGTTGATTGTAGAAGAGTGCGACGAGCTCATTGCATTAGCTTATAGCTTTGTATTTCCATTAATGTTTGAGTTGAGGCTTAATAGATAGCAGTTAAAAATCAGAAGTGGTTTGCGGCTTGGTTGTTGTTGTTAATTTACGTCGCTCTAGAGCTGCACAATGGGCTATTGGCGACTGTCAAGGAGACATCCCTGAGGATGACCCGAAGACTTGCCATCAAAATTTTGATCCTCTGCAGAGGGGATGGCACCCCCGCTTAGGGGATGGCACCCCCGCTTCGGTAGCCCGACGACCTGCACACGAAGTCGAGCACTCGTTCAAGACTTGCAAGAATTTGTAGAGGGATTGCTTAGTTTCACACGGTCAACCATCCATTACATATTAATAATTAATTTGGCAATTCAATTTCTAAACTGCTGACATCCCCTCTGTTGAGAATTAAATTTACTATGGTATGTCTTCGGATCTTCCTCAGGGATGTTTCCAGACCGTAGCCAATAGACCATTGTGCAGCTCCAGTGCGACGTAAATAAAACACCTACCTACCAAACTATTGACAAAGCCTTTGGTAGAATGCATTTTCATGTAGAGCTGCCATCTGGTGATGGTATTAGTAACTCCTTACAGAAACACAGAATATCAATATATTAGGAAAAGTTAAAGGATCATATTTTAATTATTAAATAATAATTTCTAAATCAATAATTTAAAAATAAGTCATTTAGGAATTTGTGCATTTAAAGCATAGCTTGGGGATATTTCCGTATCGTGATCTGTGACGCCAACAAGATTCGCCAAGGCGCGATTCAACGCAAGCGATCCAGGGAGCACATCAAAGGACATAATTGTGGGCAAGGAAGAGGCGGAGCTTCAGTTGAGAGGCTGAACAAGAGTCTCGTGTCACATGATTCTACTTTAAATTCTGACGTCGCTGCTTAAGCGTCATATATCACGTGACTCTTAACATTACACTTTACGTTTACAATGGATAAAACTTATTTCATTATTTATTTATTCATTTTTCTTAGTAATGTTTTCTTTTTAAATCCCTCTTGTAAATACATTTAATAANTTTGCGAAAACGTCATTTTTGCCGTTCTTGGCCACGCCCCCTCAAAAAACTCCCCGCAGGCACTCGTAGGGATCTCGCCAAATTTTGGCGCCAATTTTGGCGTAGATCACGATACGGAAATCATCCCCATAGCTTTTCTACCTGTGATTTCTGTAAATTATTAAAAAATAAAATCAACTTGAAAAGGTTGGAAATCGGTTGCTAATATAATCAGAAGAACACATATTTCCGATTTTTGTGAAACAAACAAAAAAGAAAAGAAAAAAAGACTTGACTAAAGTGAAACTTTTACAATTTAAATATATATATGTTGCTTTTTTCATTAAAATTCAAAATGTGTACACTTCTGCAAAATAGTTGAATAAAAGTCCCTAATGTTACCTTTGAAAGTGAACATCGTATTAACAACGTAAAGAAGTTTGAAAAATCCAATCTTTTTCGCATTAATGTTGGACGATGGCTTATGAAAGAGATGATTTTAAGGATGATTGTTCAGAATCAGAAAGCTCCGAATCCTCATATTCCCAAAGTGAGGAAGATATTCCATGGCTTAAGAAAGTCGGTCCCAAAGGAGAGCTGTTTTATATTCAACAGAATTTTTCGCAGTCCCTGGAAAAAAACTTCCTCACCATCATCCCTGATGATCAACCCCATACATCATCCAATGCCGCTAAAAAGTTTGCGAATTGGCTGAAGAAAAAGAAGCATAAAGTCCGTCGACCGTTTCATTTATTTAAGTCTATCAAATCGAATGAGGAAAGTATGCCTTTTAATCTTCTGTCTTCTAAAGAAGTGTTTATTGCTCTGAATCCCTCACGTCCATCCTTAGGTCGAAAAACATCCCTATCTAAAGAACTGCTGGGCATCGAACTCGGACCCTTCGAGGAATGCAATCATTTATACTCGATGGACAAAATTAAAATTTTAAAGTGTTGTGACATTCCTGATCTGAGACCTGGAGATTGGCTTCATTCCATCAATGACGTTAAAGTTTATCTTAGTAACATTGATGATGTTTTACTTCAATTAGATTTCCCATCTAATATTAAATTGACTGTTTTATCGTCATACAATGAATTGTCAAGTTTCAAATCAATTTACTCAATGCATAATCATATATGCGAAGAACTTTTAGGAAGTTGTGATGTTTCACAAGAAGTAAAATCTCACTCTAATTACGGTGTCTTTTTTCTCAAATGTCTCGATGCACACGAAAACGAAGCGGCTCGAAACGAGGTGGTTTACGAGCATCCAAAGGAAAACACTCATTTATTTAATCTTAAGGGAACGTTTATTACACTGAGCCATATTATAAGTGACGTCGCATCGCCTCAGATATTGAGTTGTAGCATAGCCGTGAAACAGGAAATGGTGCATGTCGGTTTTTTCAAAGAGACAAATTATATCTTTTTGCTAGCTATTCCTGCAGCTTGTGCCTCGGAAAAAGACGTTCAATATTTTGTGAAAAATGTGGTCAAGTACTTGAAATTTAGATATCGATATCTCAAGTGTGCTTTTCTGTTGGAAGATTCCGACATGGACAAGTTTTTTGCAATGTTTTTTAAGTATTTTTTGTCAGAACAGTCTGCTTCACTTTCTTATTTGAACGCAATTTTGCCGAGCGCTCACTGGATTCCCCTGTCGGCGAAGCTGAAAACCGAAATAGACGACATTTTGAACGAATTGGAATCATCGGACTACGACTGTTTTTCCGACGGATTTTTCGAGAACCAAAGATTTTACAATATACTCGGTTCCTGTCTTTTCTACAAAGGATATTTGCTGTGCAGTCATTTAATGAAGAGTGATTTTTTGGACGTCCATTTATTTCTGAACTATAATCACCTGTTTTTATTGACTAAAGTAGAAGCTGTGTCAGAAATGGTTATATGGAATGAGGTGTATCCCAATCGTTTCACTGAAGAGGATAACGAATGCAGGTACTTTTTACTCGCCGTTGCGATGGGAAATTGTATTCTGTCCGTTTTGCTGGAATCGAACAGCTGCACGTTGGAACCGGAAGCTCACCCCCCACCGGAACCCTTCTACATTGAAGAAGTCCAGAATACGCTCATCATACTTCACAATTATGGTATCGTATCTGCTGTTGAAAAATCGCTTCACTTTTGTCTTCCACCGATTACATCTGTAGAGGGGGTACTTAAAGGAACTTCTTCACTCAATTCCTCCGTCAATGTGCCATCCTCTAAAAGCATGCAATGCTCGTCCAACGCTAGTTCCCTTTCCTGCGACTTAGCCGACGTCGAATCCACTTATTCGGATACGTCTAATGAAAATTTACTGTTCCCCGGTTCCAAATCTTTCAATACCTCGACAGGATCCACATCTGGATCTCAAGCGAGCAGCGAGTATTCATCTCAACCCAAACTGAATAGTTTCCATGACGATCCATTAAGCGATGCCTTGTGCCATTTCAATGCTGGAAATGATAATTCCATGTTTCACTATCTGCACATGGATCCGGTTGAAGGTATTTTCCTGGCGCCACCGCTGGAAGAATATAGTTTTTATGATGATTGTGGCGCCACGAATGATATCTTGTCTAATTTCCACCGATGCTGCATGCAGATGCGCTGCGTTTTCTCAAGATCTTTGAGAAACGAGGAGATACGTAACTCGGGTGTCATTACCAAATTTGGAATCAATAGTTTTTTGTGCAATGCTTACGAACAGGGAATCCTTTTCAGTTATTCCGGTAAAGATAAAAATAAGCAGAATAACATGTTGAATTTTTGGATTATAGGGCGACTGTTTTTCAACCCTGAGCCTCGTGAAGTTTATGTGTGCTATCATGATTCTGTCCACCAGGATATTGTAGAACTTGCTTTTAAGTTAGGATTTGGTTTATCTTTGTAATTATAAGCAGGATTTGTCTCCAAGGTTGCAAAATACATAAAAAATTGTTTATTTAATATTTTGTGATGTATGCAGGGTATCTGCACACCCGGAAAGTCATGGATTTCGGTATTGAACAAAATTTGTCATAAAATGTCCTGATTTTAACTATTTTTTAAAAAAAATCATGGATTTAGGTCGCCAATTCAATTTTTAAAATGGAGTTTACCCTCCTCCCCCCAATTTCATAGTGTTCCGAATATCTGAATTTGTAACAAAAACCCCATGCACAGTCATAAAATGTTTTTTTGTGCTCTTTAAAAATTTTGGCGTTCTTTCAAAAAAGGAAAGAAAAAACATTTCTTGTGTGAATTATCTTTTAAACTTCTGTGATTTCTGAATTTATTATTATTATTTATTTATTTTATTTTATCAATTAAAAATTCTAGCTGAAGTGAGCCAGTCATTGGTGAATTTTTTTTATTCCGAAATGAGAACAGAAAAATCACTAGTATTTCTTTCACAAGTAAAGTATCTTTGGAATATAATTCTGCAGAAAAAAAGAATTGTTTGCTTTTGTATTTTTTTCAGCTTTTTAGTGCTTCAACTCTTTCCTTACTCTGTTTTTTAAATTTAAAATCTATAAATATGAAGAGTATAACAGTTATACCTATCATTTCAATGAATGTTATTATAATGCTTTTTTAAATTTATTGTTGTGCTTTTGTCGGAGAAAATAGTAACTTTGTTAAGTCATGATACCCTGTGTTTGGTTTTTTGATTGAAAAAATAATTTAAATAGATAACTCCTAGATATTTTAAGGACCTTTAATAGATCATCACCTATAATTTGTACAAATTCTCTAATTGTTTGATGGATATTTCTGTGCCTGTTCGTGGTTTTGTAAAGGTTTTTTTAACTTGCTAACATTTCAAATAAAAGAACTATGCTGGGTTTTGCGCCTAATGTTCGCTACAAGTTGGTCCCCTTCTGTGATATTTTATTTAGTCTCTCTTGACTCGAAAGTCGTCGGTTTGGTGTAGATACCAGTATAGTCATCTTCTCAATATTCACACTTCACTCTCAATTAGTTAGAATTGATCTTCGCTTTATTTGAAGAATCTGACTTAGGAAGTAGCAAGACTGCATAATAATTTTTTTCTCTCTGTTTTGGCCGTGTCGTAAGTAAAAAACAAACACCTTAATACTTTTTTTATCTAATGATTGACTTATCCTGTGTTTTAAGGATTCAAACTTAAAGGTTTGAGTACAACCATTAAATTTGATTAATTAACTAGTGTCGACCCTATTTTATTTCAAAAGTTGAGGCTAAAATATGCATTTTCTCGAAGAATATATTCTTTTGTGGTTTTGATCTTTGTTGTCAAAACATAGGAATAGCTACTATCTGATGATATTAGGGGTCTGTCTAGGTTTTTTTGAGAGGTACCTATTTTGTGACAATTTAGACATAATTTGTGAAAATTAAAAATTATATTAAAAAATAAACACAAAAATATGGTAAGATAAGAAAATATTTTCAAAAATTGTCACTCTAAATAAAAATTATTTATGACTGGTAAATTTGTTTATATTTTTCCGCATAGTATATTCAAAAATAATTTTGCTATTTTGAAAATTTGAGCTTAAAATTGTATCCAAATTTAAAAATTCATAAAAATCATAGTCGATAGTTAAATTTCAACTTGAATTTAATAAAATCGTGCATTGAACAGTACTAGCACTAAAAGTAATTTTCATTATGAGAACATTTTCACCTAGGGGCCCTACCATGAACTACCGGGAATGGAATGAAGATTCCCGGCTGGAAAGTGGAACTGGGAAAGTTTGGTTCCATGAATGCTCAATACCGTACCATGAACACTCCCTTGGAATCAGACATTATACGATAACTCGCTCTCAGGACGTGGCTAAAATTTAACCAATCACACAATTTACTTTAGATTTTCTTTTGGAGTTTGGCAGCATTAGCATGAGTAAAACGAAACGAGCTTCTGCTATTTAGATAATACTATTTTTGACTACTAATTGTTTTATTTTTATAATGTTTTTTGTTTTCATTAGACTAAAAAAACATGAACTGCAAATACTTTGAAATATTCTTCAATTTATTATACATATAGTTTTATTAATTAAAAACTGTCATATTTATCATGTATATATAATTCATAAAATAAAATCCTTTTTTCATAATAAATATTTCTGATATATCCCTTAATACGTTTCATTATTTATTTTAAATATTTTTTAAAAAGTACAAATCTTAAAATAATGATCATATTTTAATGAATTAAGATTCAAAATTTCGTGCCTGAGAACTGCAAGTAGATAGATTACTAATTATACTAGTTTTTAAATCTAAACTAATTTCCAGAAAGAATTCAAATTTTATCAGACAAAACAATTAACGCTTACCTTGATCTCTTTGAAATTAATTTAATTTCAGAAAAGTTCATTAGTTTTCAATTAAAATTGTAACAATATGAATGACTAAAAAGTTACTACTTTGCTTATTACTTTGGTTTATTTTTTACTGATAGTTAAATAAATATGTTCACAAGAAATTAATTTCTAGATCTGCGTAAATTTTTTTTCGTGATTTGTAAAATCATTTTACGTATGAAAACTTAAAAATTATAGTTTAGGGAACTACTTCTGCAGCTTTTATAGTATATATTTTAATGGAAGAATGAGAATAAAAATTTTTAAAATGAGTAAGAGAAGAAATAAATAAAAATTTCATAAATATTTTTTGAAACGTTTTTATTCTTTTTTGTATTTCTTATTATAAATAAATTGTTTACTTTATAATGCATCATGCCTGTAAAAAATTCTTTTAAATGTGCTGCCATTGGTGTATAGTATAAAGAACTATCGTTCGAAAGGAAGTTAAATATTGTTGAATTAAAAGTTCATCGAAAGAAAATTATAAAAAAAAATGATTGGAACTTCAGAAAAAGGTTTTGGCCAAGTAATACGTCCCGTAATAATAACATAGAAATAGTAACAATTATTATATAATGAGAGCATAATTATTTTTAGTTTGCCGTAATTTCTTAGTTAACTCTGAAAGTATCTTTTCGTTCACAGATACTAATGAAACAAAACATTTCTCTTTTAATTATCGTCTTGAAAATGGCTCGGGCACGTTTATCTTTTAGAAATTTTGTTATCTTCTCTTATGAAATAGAAAAAAATTAAGACATTCATCGACAAAATATCGTATTTAGTCCTTAAAAATTCATCATTCCCTCCTTGGAACGACGATTCCAGGTGCCGGAGACTGGTTGGAATGAAACCGATTCCAATTCCAGCCAAGAAACTCTTTCCAAGGTGTTCGTGGTGGGGGAAAATAATTCCCAGATGGAATTTCATTCCATGGAGCTCATGGTAGGGTTCTAGGTCATACAGAAAAAAGTTTTGCAGAGAAAATTTCAAGCATCATATTTGGTTTGTTTACTTTCTAACCCAACTACCTTTTCATAGATGAAGGTTGATACCATCACCACAATTTTTAAAAGAAGTCAATTTATTTCACATTTTTGTAAAAAAAACCTATAAAATTCGTTTTATGAATCATGTGATTTAATAAGCAGCATTTTTGTGAACAAAATTTTCGAACATTGAAATTTTTTTTTCGTCGTAGTATTTTATCCAAAAATTTTTGTTCAATGTTTGCATGTGCAGAAAACTCTTACACAGTGCAGTTGATGATATAAATTAGTAGTAAAAATGGCTATGTTTTGTAAAATTGTACATAAAAAAAAGAAGTTTTTTGTTGCATAAAATAGGAGTAAAGAAAAAGTATATTTTGATGTATTATAGTTGAGGTTCACACAGTTAGGTTATTTTTAACTCTTCATAAATATTAATAATTAAAATATTGTGCATAAAATATATTTTCATTACACAGTTATATATGACAATTGTATTTATAAAGAGTGTAAATATTCTTAGGTATTTTTATTAAAAATTATTTTAAAGTATGGTTTCTCTTGTTTTATTTTTCACCTCCTTTCCTCTTGGCTACTATGGTTTTTCTAGCTTTGTTTCACCCATTTTTCGTTCACTATACATTTTATATTTCAAGTCCCTTTTGTTTCTAGTCATTCACGTCTCTTGAAACATGTCAACTGTATGTTTTATTGAACAAATGGAGTTTTTAATCAATATCTTCAGTTTCTTGGAATTATTTATTTAACATAAGCAGATGTTCTTTAGCCAGTTTTAGAATGGATTTTATCATTGCGTCCAAAACCTTACCAACCTTGGCTGTTTCAAATATTCAGGGGTGATTGTATTCCGGACATACCCTGGAATTCCGTTTTTTTTTTGTGTGCATCATTCTTGCAGGTGTAAAATCTAGGGGCGATTTGTGTGCAAATATTGTAGAATTCCACGTAAATCAAGATCATTGGTTGTGGACTTTCACAAATCAAAAACTTATCCGACATAATTTTGAAGCTTTTTCTAATTCCCGTTAAAGAGACGTTTACATACATTCTTTCGCTAATTATTAAGTTTTATGTGATTCTTTTGGTTTGGCAGATTTTCACCTTTTTAAATATTTGGAACTGCGCCGGAATCTGCTAATATTTGGAATTCTTTTTAAAGTTATTTTAATATCGATATTTGTTTTACCTAAAAAAGCTTCGCATTGCAATTTGTATTCACATGATTTAGAAATCCAATATCACAATTTATATTTACCCGTTATTAAAACCATATATCGCGATTCGTATTCACACTATATAAAAATTTAATATCGCAATTCATATTCACGAAATTTTAAAATCTAATATCGCAATTCACATTCGTGCAATTTTAAAACCCAATATCACAATTCTTGTAAGAAGTAAATAATTTAATTATAAATGTCAGTTTAAAAAGTTATGTTAAATATGAAACATGTATCATATAAAAATTGATTTCGATTTTTTGCACATAAAATTTTCGGGGTTTTTCACTTTGTGTTCCAATCACCCCTGATTTATTGGGTGCGTAAAATAATAGCTCTCAAAATGGAAAAAAATGATATGTTTATTCAAAATACTACAGCAAATATTACATTTCAATGAGCAAATATAAAGTTAAGATTCAAATAAAAGAGTTTTTACATAAAAATAACCTAGTTATAAACATAGGTGTTACTTAAACATAACAATATTCATTTATTAGACATAACTGCTAAGTCACTGAAAAACAGTGCAATTTTGTTCAACCTGCAATAGAATTAGTTTCTGTATTATATTATTATTATTAATTTATTACATGAATTTGACTGTCCCCAACCTAGTAAAATAAAGAAATAGGTAACTAAAAGCTTTTTGACTTTTTACTCTTTTTAGAAATTTGCGAGTGTTAATTTGTTTTTGAGTTTAAACTCATTCAGTGATTTCTTATTTAGCTTACTTACCAATAAAAAAAAGTGATCATTTTTTATAAAATATCTCGATAAAAAACAATATTAGTTTCGCATCTAACATTTCAATGCAAAAAATATATTTTACAATAAAAAAATGCATTTCATTACTACACATAGATAATCATTAAAAAAATGCATTCAATTGATTGTATGTATAAAGAAATCAAAAATTAATATTGATCCTTTCAAAAAAGATTTGAATAGTTTATTATGTAAAAATTTTGTCATCATTTTTAAGAATAAAATTCAAAATGCTTATTTTTTCATTCAGTTATGATTGAGTGAACAATTCATGTAACTGACTGATTCATGTAGTCAGTTTTAGAAATGAAGAATAAAATATATAGAATTAACATTAAATGGCCCCAACTTTCAACCAAACTAAACTTAACTAGTAAAAATGAAAAGACATAAAATAACAAAATTTCTTTAACCAAAGCAACCAATCCGCAAAACACTTACATAAGAAGATCAATTTTATATTTTCATGCTAAACAAATAGTGTTTTTAATTTTATAGGCCTCTTGCATAGCTAAATTATGATATCAAAACACTGAGCTGATGGAGAGGAATCGATTTTGGTTCAGAGAAGCATTTAAATAAAAGAGGTTGATTTCAAATTTGACTCGTAAATCAGTTTAGCATTATTGTACCGTCATCTAGAAGATGAAGAAAAATTTTTCTCTCCAAAGATACGGTTGAGATAGGATTGTTCGAAATGCTGCTGATAATGAATTCTCTCTAAAAGTATACTTAAATCAGGGTTATTCCAGACTTTTTGTAAAGTTTTAGTGAAAAATCTGCTCAAAAGTTTGCAACCGGTACAGATTTTTTATGTGAAATATTTACTTTTAATTTTCGGAATCTAGAATTACAGTCGGAGTTACTTAGCAGCAGTTACTAACAAGGAGTTGCAATTTTAAAATTATGTATTAGTCATTACTGACTCAGTTTTCAAAAAAATAAATGAATGAATGAATTGAGATGGATATACTTTAAATATAATTTTTTCTTCTTCTGTGAATGAATCAAATATTTTTCTATAAGGAAAAAAAATGACAAGTATAAATTATAACAGTAAAACTTTGCTACAACAATATTTTAGGGACCAAATAAATATATAGTTGGAGACAATAAGATTTTTTTTAAATTTTAATGTTATATATGTGTTAACTATAAATCTATTTATATATTATTTAAAAATTTAATTTGTAGAGTTTTAATTATGGTTAAATATGAAATCAGATACGTAAAAATGAAATAAGGGAGGCAATTCTAAGAATGGAAGGTGGTGTATGCAAGTCAAGGAATGTAATCTGAATACAAAAACTATTCATTGGGGTGAAAAGAAGAAATAAGATAATCAGCAGATCTCATCAGAAGATTTTTTACATTGTTTGAAAACCAATAATAAATGGAGAAAATATTGAGAGGAGGATAACATTAATTCACATATAAGTTCGTTGGGACCACAAAACATTATTGTAACAAAGGGAGTTATTGTTGTATCGGATATCGTAGTACCGAGAGTTCACTGTATTATAATTAACTATTTCAGAAAAAGAAAAATTATTTTACTCTTTCTATACTTTGCATAAGCTCAACTTGGCAGTGTCGAAGAAGTTAGTGCATCTTGTGCTGCATTAAAAAATCATAGTTCTTTGATATTTAGAAAATGTCATGGAAAATTTTTTGTTACAAAGGAAGTTAATACACAAATTTTAAAATTCAAACATTTATTTGTTGTAAAATTCAGCTAACTAATCACAAGAATTTTTCTAAGTTTTACATCATACATAAATAGGGTGCATAGCGTTTTTAAAAAGTGTTTAATTTTGATTTAAGTTTTTTTTAAAAGACCTTAAGGGGACTTTTCTTTATTCTGTGTTTGTAAAAAGTGCTTAATTTTCTATATTTTAAAAAGAGATTTTTTCTTCGACGTATCGATTTTCGTTCAAATTACAAAAAATTCATGATTTTTGCAATTTTCTCACCAATATTTATCAGAAACTAGTTATTTTATCCTGATTATATAAAGTTTTTGAAAATGTTTAGTGATTTTATGTTTATAAATTAAGAACTTTAAATGACAGTAAAAAATAATTTTAATTACTGCACAGATCCTAATTATGATTTTTTTTTTGTTGGGAAAGTGATTAAAAATATTTTGTAAGTGCTTAAAAAGTACTTAAAAGGTGCTTATTGAAAAATATGGCTACGCACCCTGAATAAAGTTTAAAATCGTTTTATTTTAGCAAGTCTAAAGAAAAATAAAGTTTGAGGAGGAAAGAGATTTGCTGAGAGATTTCTAATAGCACATTCGAGTCATCACTTTTTGACGCACTCAATTTGTACAATAAATCTATATGGTTTCTCAATAGCTTTTTCTGTAGTAATTACTTTGGAGTTTTACATGATTTCCAACTGATGAAATACATAATATTTTTAATTTTGATATGCAAAATTTGAAATTGAGTATGCACTTTTTGACTAGCTTTTTTTTGTTGTTGCCAATTTCATCATAAATCCAATAATTTTTCGATCAGATTTTTTTAGCAGTTGTTAATAATTTCCCTGCTGGTACATTGTAAATCCAAGTTATTTTTAAATTATTTTTTTAGGCAGTTATTGATCTACATTTCCACGTGGTTTTAAAAATTCAAAATTTTCTTTCAACGTACCATTTTTAAATAACTACTTATTGGAGTGCTTTGTGTTGATTTCATTGAGAATTTAAGCGTGTGCGTTTTATTTTTTAAAATTTTTTGCTGCAACTATTGGAGCGCTGTTCCCTGTGATTTTGAAAACCCCGTCTCCTTTATTATGATGTGATTACGACACACAAGCTAACTTACTTCTGATTGCGCATTTAAATAATCACTTTTTGATACTATTTTGTGCTCATTATTTATCTTTTTGAACTCATTTTTTTTTATCTCAAAACTTATGTTCTGATATTTCTTTCTTGATATAATAAATTTGAATTAAAATGAATTTAAGAGTTATTCTACATAATTTTCAAGTCAAATTTTAAAATAGCTAGGCAACCATTTGATGTTACATCTGATAAAAATTTTTAAAAAAAATTCTGCTTACAATTCGTAATGTAATTGTAATTTCACTTCACAATGACTATGAAAAATGTAAATGTTGGTAACTATATAAAATCTGATTCATACTACACTACCTCCCAATGCTAAGTTCAGATGATGCAAAATATAAATTAATATTGCACAGCTCTTTATAAACAGTTAAGTCTTTATAACAGCAAAAGTCTTTCTATTGCATAGTGATTGAACATTTGAGATATTTATAAAATGTGCCAAAAAGTTAAATTAAGCAGAAAGATTCAAATGAATTGTTTTATCGTTCAATTTCAGAAGGAGAAAAATAAAGAGCATGCTCATGAGTAAGATACTACATAATATTTAAGACAAAAATATATCTTGACAGTTAGTATAAAGTGTGCAGCAGTAAAAATATTACTGCAGTAAAAGTTTAAAAATCTTTTCAGACATTATCAGGTGTTAAGATGACAGACATCTGGACAGGCTTCAATTCATTCTCAGTTTCTTTGACCGTCATTCTTAAAAGCTGTTCAATTGCGACATTTCTAGCATCACTCTCTTGTTGCAAGGCATCATTCTCGACCAGAAGTTCGACCAGTTGACCAGAAATCTCTGAAAGAACTCTCACAATTAGTTGTTTTAAAATTCAATAGCATTATAAATAAGGATAATTATTAGCTAGAATAAATAAGAAGTATTTATAAATGAGCATACGTATGAAATGACAAGTGATGAGAATTAATTGTGTTCTTGAATTATTTTGACATTAAACTCTCTTTTTGATTTGACAATAATCGTAAAAAAACTTATATTTTGGTGTAGAAAATATGAATAAAATTATAAATAAAAATATGCGAAATTGCAATTTATTTAATGCGTTAATTTGTCAAATTATTTAAAATAAAAAGACAAAAACAATCAGCTTAGTAAAAAATCACTCAAAAATCATCTTATTTCTTATCACAAAAACATGCAATTACAAAAAAAAAAGTGTTGAAGTCTTCTGTACATTTCATTTTTCATTAATCAGTTCATTTTTCAGTTTTGTATGAATAAGATCAAAATTCCAAACTCATCATCATCATAGTTGGCCAGACAGCCCAATGTGGGCCAATGCCTTCCTCTGAAGATTTCTCCATAATGACTTCTTGTTCCAGTGGGTTTAAAAAGCAGCATTTTTTTTATTGTATTGTCATCACTCATTCGAATCACGTGGGCCATCCAATTCATTCTATTTATTTTTATGTATTTAATAATATCAGGTTGTTTATAAATCTTGCACAGTTCAAAGTTAAATCTCCTTCTCCAGTTATTGTTTTCATTTACACCACCAAGTATACTCCACAAAATCTTTCTCTCAAATATTGTGATACAATTTTCCTCTGGTTTTGTCATTGTCCAAGCTATTCTTTCAATTGATGCTGAGTTGCATAGTAGAATTCAGACTTAGCATAGAATGCAGACTTATTAAAACTATTACGTATAACATAATAAAATAAAATGTAACTAGGAAATTTATTCTAATAACTGTACTAAATATTAATATCAATTTTATTAAATCCTTGAATTGATTGATTGAAAAATTATTAACTTATTTAAAAAAACATTAATGTTTTTTTTTATAAATTACAATTAGTTCACTCATTAGTGAACTAATACATTAATATAATTAACATTAGTTCACTAACATTGAAAATATTCATGCACATACAAGCTGGAGTGCAGAAAATTCTCAGAGCCCCTATGATCAAAGTTTTTTTTAATCAAAATTTTCCCCAAAATTTTAGTTTTTTTTTTTGGTACAGAAACTTTTTCAAAGTATTTTTGGAAAATAATGTTTATCTAAGAAAAACATTTATTAATTTTACACAATTTTTGAATTACTGAGCATATGTGTTATAAAAAAATAGAAATATATGGAAATAATAATAATTTTTTAAATTAAATTTAAGGTCCCACTTATTAACTTAAGGATTTCAAACTAATAAATACAAAAATTGGTATTTTTTTTGACAAGATAAGCAACACATTTATTGACAAAAATTTTTTTTTAAGCCCAACATTTTCCCATGGCTGCTTGAATTTCCTCTAAAGCCTTGTTCGTGCGGCCAGACAAATTATGGTCACCTGAATTCAATTAATAGCAACAAATATTGAGATTTAATAAAAGCAATTATACGTTGAGATCAGACAATTATTGACGAACACTTTCATTTTACTTAATCTAAAAAAAATCTGCTTAAATTGTAACATAAAAGAATTAATATTTATATTGATAACAACTCATAGTCATTACATATAATAAAAACTGAATATAGTTTTTAAAGTATTAAGAGTACCATTAGAAAAATCAATTACTTTCAATAATTTTGGCTACATTTGTTATGCGTAATAAATAATATAAATCATTATTATACACTGGTGTAAGAAAAGAGAATTTTCTGCCTTATTTCAAGTATAAAATCACGTTGCAAGGCCTGTATGTCTTGACTATCCCCTATTAACCCATTTTATGTTTTGTTTATTCCGCAACCGCTGTTTCGTACCTTCTGACTACAACGAGTGTTATGCAGGACGATACCTGTGTATTACAGTTGTCGAATGGTTTTTTGTTTTGTGTTGTATCAATGTATGTACATATCAAATTTAAATAAAATCGGTCCAGTAGTTCCAGAGATAAACGGCCAAGCCGGCAAATTCTCTTAATTTTATACAACAGTGTAGCAAAATATAATGCAAGCACTGTTCATGATTTAGTATCTAATAAAATGCTTTCAATGTCAAAAAAGAAACTTGCTCCATGTTTTTGATGTGCCATGTCAAAAAACCCAACCCTGGTATAAAGCAATTCTAATTATTGTGTTAATCATCTACGATAAATCCTTCAAAAGGAGGCCTCAGAAAAAACAAGCAATTTTGACATTCCAGCGATAGATGCATTTTAATCAAGTTGTGATACAATTTTTCACTTTAGCCATAAATGTATTTTCTATAAAGTAAGCTGATATCTATGAAGCCACACACTAATAATAAATAATCATTCGTTTCCGCACAAGATCCGTCTCTCGTGTCCCTTCTATGGAGCAGCAATCGTTACATTACAGGACAGAACCTTAGATCCAGAAACCACAATATTAGAAAACCAAAACAATTTTTAATTAGTTATGAAATGGGAAAAGGCTCAATTCAAAGTTCTTAATGATAATGAAATTTTTATGACCTCAAGTCTTTTACAGTAGGGAAATTTTCAGGGTCAATTTTATTGAGAAAAAAAACCCTACTAACTTCTTTATATATATATGTTATGGCAAAAGTGATAAATCCGGTAATTATTAGTACTAAACGGTCAACATTAATAATAACTGCTTCTTTTGGTAAAAGTGAGAAATATTGCAAATTATTCACTTTGAGCCGCGATGGCTCAGGGGATAGAGCATTTGCCTTCCAATGAGGTGATCTCGGCTATGGCTAGTCGATACAAATTCTGCATCTGGCTTGCACTAGTGCCGACATGAAATATCCCCAGTGATAGACGGATTATGGGTTACAGTCCCCTTGCCGTCAGGCTAACCGAGGGAGGTTCTCGTGGTCTTCCTCTTCATGTAATGCAAATGCGGGTTAGTTCCATCAAAAAGTCCTCCACAAAGGCAAATTTCTAACAATATTTGATCCTGGTGTTCCCTTGTCTTCTGGATGTTATGGTCAAAATGACAAGGTTATGGAGTTGAACATTAGTAGTCGGAAACCCATAAAATTGGGTCGGCTGTTCGACCACGGTTATAAAATAAAATTACTCACTTTAACCGGTTATTATTAATAATAACCGATGAAGTTTCATCAATGCGATTAAACGGTTTACGTAGCATTGGAACATGGATGTGCCACTTTGAACATGTGTTACAATTAAAGTGATAAATTCAGTTATTTTTAATACTAACCAGTCAATATTAATAATAACCACTTCTTTTGATTCAAGTGAGAAATATCGCAAATCATTCACTTTTACGGGTAATTATTAATAATAATTAATGAAGTTTGGTCAATGTGTTTAAACAGTTTAACTGGTCACAATTCTGCTTCTTTGACCTTTGGGTCAAAGTGATAAATAAAAATGCAAAAGAATGGCATTGACCAAACCTCATAACCAATAATAATAACCAATGAAGTTTGGTCAGTGTGTTTAAACAGTTTAACTGGTCACAATTAATAATAACTGCTTCTTTGACTTTTGGGTCAAAGTGATAAATAAAAATGCGAAAGAATGGCATTGACCAAACCTCATAACCAATAAAGTTTGGTCAATGTGTTTAAACTGATCACAATTAATAATAACTACTTCTTTGGGTGATAAATAAAAACTCTAAAGAATGACTTAACCAAACGTCATTGGTTAGCAGGATAATGTGATAAATTCGCTAATTCACTCTTACCGACTTATTTGGTTATTATTAATATTGACCAGTTAGTATTAATAATAACGGACAATTTATATTGACCATAACATATATATATATATAACGTCGTTGTCGAGTGGAACGATTAAAACAGGTTTTAGGCCAGGAAGGAGGGTACAAAATTTATTTATTAATTATTAGACAGAGCAGTCATGAAAAGTGTGTACGAAAAGTTATGCTTCTCCATTATATGTTAGGTAAAATCTTGCAAAGTAAAATCCGTAAAATGTTTCAATTTAGGGAAAGAGGGAAATCTTAGTAGTTGCCATTGGTTTATGAAATAGGTCGAGCGTTTCCCAGAGAGCAAAGGGGAAAATGTCCTGCTTTTAATTAAATGCATACTTAGGCCAAAAATAGATTTAAAAGCCGCATCCTGTTCTTAAAAGTGTGAGAAAGTATTTCGATTAGAATAATTAATTAGGATAACACAAAAAGATTAATTGAAGCTTTTTATGTTGTTTTGCTTTTGATTTACAGTTGAACAATATTGTTAAATTACAGCATTGTTTTGTCCAATGCTAATATTTTAGATAGGGAAACACAATAATAGTTTAATTTCTAATTCATGTTTCATTATTGTACAATATTCAGCTTCACAAAAATTATAAAAAGATAAAGTCATCCTCTAGAGTTGTTAAGTACCAAAACATGAACAATGTTCATAAAGTCGATATAGTGTTCAGCTTTTTACAACATATAATTTTTTGTATGAAAACCACCACCGATTTAAAGATTTGGCTGAATAAATTATATTCTACACTTACAATTATCCATAACATGTTCTTAAACGTGATAAATTGGTTGCTTTTAAAATATTTTTAACTTGTTTCTTCACCCTATATTCGCTTGAATTACATGACTATTATTACTATACCCATAATTAAAATAATTTACCTTCGACAGCTTTTGATAAATTCCTGATTAAGATTTTCAAGTTTTTCATTGAGAATTCTTCAACTATGTAAAAAAGAAGAAAAAAAATGTATTAGTGAAATAAACAAGGATAAACATACACTTATCAATTGGTCAGAACATCTTTTTTCATCAATGAAAAACATTAAATGCAGGTCAAAATTAAAATAAATTTTGCAAACGTAGAATTTTTTTTACATTTATTGTTTAAATGCTACTTTTGTCATATTTTATAATAATCATACCTATAATAAACAGTAATGTTTTAAATATACTGATAAGACTTTTACTTGATTATAATTATAATGGATCTTATAAAGACAGAAAAACTTAATTTATCTATTAGGTACATGTATATATATATACTATATATAATACATATATACAGAGGTGATTGTGAGCCCAATTCAAAAATTCTGAAAATACCCTGAGTAAAATAATTAATGACCCATCTCAAAAAATTAATGCCTTTATAAATTTAAACCATTGATATTTTTTTTCAAAGCATGAAATTCTAAATAAATTATATGCAGCATAATTTAAATGAATAATTATGTATAAGTTTACTTTTATCTATAATCACATTTATTATTCTACCAGAAAAATTTACAAATGAAAGAGATGCCAAGCATAAATCATAGTTCTAATATTTTTAAATAAAATATTCAAGAATTTTTATGCGTAAATGGGATGGGTGATTTCTTAAAACTTCTGGACCCTGGATTTAAGGAAAGTTTCGGAGCACAATCATCTATGCATATATACATAATACATCTTTTTTATTTTAAATTTAAAAAAGGCTTCAGCATACCTTCTAATCTACAAGAAATTGAGTATTCGGAAGAATCTAATTTAGAAAATATTCAGGATAACTTAAAAATAATAGAGCATAGTTACCATGAAGTCGGAGTTGCTAAAAACATATAGACTCCTACTCTAGTTTTTGAAAGACAATTTGAATTTTATTGGATGATAAACAAATTTAGAAAAGAGAATAAATTTATTCTCAGAACAATTGAAATAATCAAATCAGGACAGTCAGGCATTGCAACTGAATTGTCCTCTTCTAATTACAAATTAATTACGAAACAGATTTTGAGAGATTTTTGAAAAATATTCAAAAGGCAAAGCGAATGAAAATAAAGTATCGAGAGCCTTTAAATATCAAAATGAAAAAAATACAAACAAGATTTCTATGCAGCTCTTGAAGAAATATGATCACATTTGCAAGACACCTTTTCTGTTCTAAAAGTTCTTTTTAAAAAGTTTTTGGTTCTATAAGTCTTGCAGACTTTTAGAACCTATATAAATCTAATCTGAAAAGTTAAGTTAGTGTGGAAATACTTGTTTCAGCTCTGTAGATGATCGGATATCTATCAAAAAAGAATTACTAATAACAGTTTTTCCATTGCATAATCAAAGGTTAATATAAAGAATCTGTTAGGCCAAACTTTTTTTCGCTAGCATCTATTACTTCATTCAGATTTAAAAAATAATCAGTAGCACGCGTGTCAGTATATATATAACGTCATTGCCGAGTGGAAGGATTAAAACAGGTCTTAGGCCGGTAAGGAGGGTACAAAATTTGTTTATTAATTATTAGACAGAGCAGTCATGAAAAGGGTGTACGAAAAGTAGTGCTTCTTCATTATATGTTAGGGAAAATCTTGCAAAGTAAAATCCGTAAATGTCTCTATTTAGAGAAAAGAGGGAAATCTTAGTAATTGTAATTGGTTTATCAAATAGGTCGAGCATTTCCCACAGAGAGCAAAGGGAAAAATGTTCTGTTTTTAATTAAATGCATACTTGGGCCAAAAATAGATTAAAGAACAGGATGTGGCTTTTAAGGGTGCAAGAAAGCATTTGAATAATTAATTAGGATAACATGAAAAGATTAACAGAAGCTTTTTATGTTACACACACACACACACATATATATACATATATATATATATATATAAGACGTGTTTTA